TTTACTGTAAATATATGTATTTATTTCTGGGTTTTTTATTCTGTTCTATTGGTCTATATGTCTGTTGTTATTCCAGTGCCATGCTGTTTTGGTACTATAGCTTTGTAGTATAATTTGAGTCAGGTAATGTGATGCCTCCAACTTTGTTTTTCTTGATTAGGATCACTTTGACTATTCTGGGTATTTTGTGATTTCATATAAATTTTAGTATTTTTTCTATTTCTATGAAGAATGTTATTGATAATTTGATAGGGTTTGCATGGAATCTATAGATAGTTTTGGGTCGTATTGACATTTTAACAATATTGATTCTTCCAATCCATGAACATAGGATATCTTTCCATTATTTGAGTCCTCCTTCAATTTTTTCATCAGTGTTTTATATTTTTCATTGTAGAGATCTTTCACTTCTTCAGTTAAGTTTATTTACAGGTATTTTATTTTATTCATAGCTATTATAAATGGGATTGCTTTCTTGGCTTCTTTTTCAGATTTTTCAATGTTGGCATATAAAAATGCTACTAATTTTTATATGTTGATTATGTATCCTGCAATTTTACTAAATTTATCAGTTTGAATAGCTTTTGGTGGAGTCTTTAGGTTTTTCTAAATATAAGATTATATACCTACAAACAGGAATAATTTGACTTCTTTGTTCACAATTTTTATGCCTTGTATTTCTCTTGTTTAATTGCTCTGGCTAGAACTTTCAGTACTATGTTGAATAAAAGTGGTGAAAGTGGGCATTCTCTTCTTGTTCCACATCTTAGAGGAAAGGCTTTCATTTTTTTCTTATTTGGTATGATACTAGCTATGAGTTTGTTGTATATGGACCTTATTATGTTGAAGTAGGTTCCTTCTATACCCAGTTTGTTGAGAACTTTTATCATGAAGAGATGTTTAATTTTATGGAATGATTTTCACTCTCTATTGAAATTTTTGTATGTTTTTTGTCCTTTATTTGGCTGATGAGATGTATCACATTTATTGATTTGTATATGTTAACCCATACTTGCATCCCTGGGATGAATCCTCTTGATCATGATAAAGTATCTTTTTAATGTGCTGTTGAATTTGGTGTGCTAGTATTTTGCTGAGAATTTTTCCATCTATGTTCATCGGTGATATTGGCCTAGAGTTTTCTTTTCATGTTGTGTCTTTGTCTTGTTTTGGTATCAGGATTATCCTAGCCTTATGGAATGAGTTTGGAAGTATTCCCTCATGTTTGATTTTTTTTTAAATAGTTTGGGTAGGATTAGTATTACTTCTTTTTTAAGTGTTTGGTGGAATTTAGCAATGAATAGAAGCTACTAAACTCCATCCTCTTCTACTAACACAGCAAAGAAAATGCAAGCCATCAGGTCCTGTTCTTTCCTTTGATGGGAGACTTTCTATTATTCCTTCTATCTCATTACTTGTTATTGGTCTATTGAGGTTCTGTATTTCTTCATGGTTCAATCTCAGTAGGTTGTATGAGTCTAGAAATTGATCCGTCTCTTCTACGTTTTCCAATTCATTGGCACATAGTTGCTGATAATAGTATCTAATGATCCTTTAAATTTCTGTGATATCATTTATAATACCTCTGTTTTCATCTTTTATTTTACTTATTTGTGTCTTCTCACCTTTTCTTAGTCCAGATAAAGTTTTGTCAATTTAGTTTATCTTTTAAAACACAAACTTTTCCTTTTACATTTTGTACTGTTTTCTTAGTTTCAATTAACTATTTCTCCTCCGATCTTTATTACTTATTTTCTTCTACTAACTTTGGATTCATTTTACTCTTGCTTTTCTAGTTTCTTGAGATGCATTGTTAGATTATTTATTCAAAGTATTTTACAATTTTAATGTAGATGTTTATTGATATAAACTTCCCTGTTCGTACTGCTTTTGCTATGTCTTACAGCTTTTGTACATTGTGCTTCCATTTTCATTTGTTTCAATACATTTTTAAATTTACTTCCTTTTTATTGACTCAATGGTCATTCATGAGCAGATTGTTTAATTTCTGTGTATTTTATAGTTTAGGTCAATTTGGTCTATAGTGCAGATGTAGTCTAATTTTTCTTTCTTCATTTGTAGTCTAGATAATCTGTACCATGGTGAAAGTGGGGTGTTGAACTCCCAACTATTACTGCACTGGGGTCTGTCTCTCTATTTAGCTCTAAAAATATTTGCTTTAGACATTTGAGTGCTTCAGCATCGGGTGCATACATATTTACAATTGTTATGTCCTCTTGCTGAATTGACTCCTCTATCATTATATAGTGACCTTCTTTGGTTTTTTTTTTTATAGGTTTTGTCTTAAAATCTATTTTATCTGATATAAGTGTAGTTACTCCTGCTCTTTTTTGTTTTCCATTTGTATGAACTATCTTTTTCCATCCCTTCATTTTCAGTCTATATGTGTCTTTATAAGTGAAGCGAGTTTCTTGTAGAAAGCATATCTTGTAAAACAAGTCAGATCTTGTTTTTACAGTGGGCATAGTCATCATGTCCTCAGATAAAAACAGGTATACTGATTCCCGTGTACCAGGTGCTAACCCTGCTCAAGCATGGGTATAGCCTTTGCATAGGTATAGCCATCCATTGATCTACTTCCCTGGATGTGGCTCAACCTAGAAAACTTAGGGACCTGTTGAAAGTTCCACTATTATCTTCACTTTTCCACCTTCATGTGCCAAAAATAAACTATTAGAGCACTTAATGCAAAATGTGATATAGGCATATATAAAATCATTTTCCAAATTTTGCATATAAATTAATCAAGATATATAGTGATAAACAGAACTGCCAATCAGCAATCAGGAGTGTTTAGCCTATGCCCAGAGTCCTAGAATATATTAAACCCCATCCTCTTCTACTAACACAGCAAGGAAAATGCAACTTCTTAAAACACAGAATTTACTGTTTCATATCCAGGGCCTTTCGTTCCCAGCCATGGTGCTAAGCTTCTGCAGCAGCCTAAAGACCGATAAAATATTATAGAATCTAATTGAAATATGCAGACAATTTTCCCATAGTACACCACATAAAGTACATTTTTTGTTTAAAAAATACATCACCAATACAAAAATGTTAATCACGAGTAGTTACAAAAAGAGAAATATATGATATTGCCCAAGAATTTGTCTTTAATTTATGAACGTCTGTTATGACCAGTTAATCTCTGAACCTTTGTTGTTCATAAGAAATTTCTGCACGGGGATATGCATCCTATACACCCATATCCTACAGATGATTTCAATATCAAAATAAAAGGTATTCTGGTCTTCTGCAGAGATACGGCTTTCTGACTTAAAGGCTACATCATTCTTTTCTGAAGATTATGTTTTTCATAATTAAGGAGCTTTTGAATATTACATGATAAAGCATTTCTGCTCATTGTGAGATCAACTCCAAGTAGTATTTATCTTCAGAGATTCTAATAATCAGTGACCATAAAAGCACTAAACACGCAACCAAATGAAATGAATGGCACTTAGGAAGTTAATTCTCTCTCAATGTCAGTATAGTCATCAGCTAATATCCTTTGTTTTAAACTGAAGCCAAGGGAGGTCTCAATGGGGTCACTAACAAGAGTTAGTTAAAAACAAAACAAAAACAACAACAAAAAAACTTTACATGAAATCTAGGCTTGCAACCCCATCTCAAACTTCTCAACAAAATCCTATCCGATAACTGTAAATCAGTTGTCTTCCGAAATAACTTTCCCTTTCATCTCCAAGCTCCCTGAAATTGGATTCTACCCACAGGGATATGGAGTATTTATTAGAAGCAGAACTTCTCACATTGTAGTGCCTACAGTTATCTAAAAGGTTTGCTGTAAGATTTTTAGCAACTGAACACTCATGGGGATTTGAAATTTTCCCTTCTGAATACAGAGGGAGGTGGGGGGAATATACAAAATGCATTTTACTGGATATAATCTCTTGAAAATTTCCATGATTTCAGGCCTAAGATTATGGAAGTCAGAATCCTACCAGAAGATTAAACAACAGAAGTGTGCTTTCTGCCTCAGCTTCCTTTCCTTGTTTGGTATTTTAAATCTCAATCCTCTAGCATTCCTCTGTATCCTGTAGTAAGTTATAAGGGAAACAGCCAAATTCAGACTTTCTTGTGGTCCTGGAGGTTCCGTTCTTTATGGATGATTTTACCAACCACTTCCTATTTGTTAATTATTGGAAAAACAACTTTGTAACAGGGACTTGGCCTATTAAGCCAAAAATGTTAATAGTAAGACAGTTGGAAATGCAAAAATCAGGGACTAAATTATGTCACCAACAGTGGGCCAGTTTCTGATTCTCTTTTCTGGTGTCATGATAGAGATAAGATGGAAAAACAAAGACACTATAGGAATAACATACAAGGAATTGTCTAGGAATACCTAGCTAGAAAACTGGTCAACCAAATCTTAACTTAGCAGACACGTTAAGCATTCCTATTACAACAAATTTTATCTGTGTGACTTTAGCAAGCCTTTTACCTGATAGGAATATTTGGCTTTGGACAAATGCATAAATGAAGAAATTAATCCAAAATTTCCAGAGGTGAAAGAATAGGTTAAACGTGAGTTTCAGCTTAATTGGGAAATTATTTTTAAAAAGATCTCTCTGTATTAATAGTAATCCCTCTTCTACCTAAAATAAGATGCTATGAGAAGGCTTGCTAGTCTCCTGGAAGCCCTGACCAGTAATAGCATCTCTAGTTCTTGAGGTAGTGCCATGTTAGATAGAAATTGAATATTCAAGGTGAACTGTCCCATTGCCACAACTAGCTACAAAAAGTACTTGTGGTTTGCCTGGCCTGTTGATTTATTAGAGTACAACTAATAAAGAATGGTTATTAAATTTGAAGATACCTTTTATGCATTTGCCTGATTTTGTGCCAACCCTGAGTTTATATAAGGAGCAACTACAATTCTGCCAACAATTAGGAGAGTTGAAAATAAATGTTTAGCTGTTCTTCCCACATTATTTATACATCTGAAACAAATTCCATTATTTCATTCCATAACACCAGGAGAAGATTCTCTTCTTCCATCTGTTTAGGGCATCTTTGATTTCCTTGTTCCTCAGGCTGTAGATCACTGGATTTAACATGGGGATTATAACTGTGTATAAGACTGATGCCAACTTGTTTTGGCTCAGGGAATCACCAGCATTAGGATATATATAAACAAAGATACCTGAGCCAAAGAAAAGGACCACTGCTGTCAAGTGAGAAGCACAAGTGTTGAAAGCTTTGGCTCTGCCTTCAGCTGAGGTGATCTTCAGAATTGTGGCAATGATATAACCATAAGATATCATGATAACTAAAACTGACGTGAGTCCAAAGATCACTGTGAGAACAGAGGTCATGACTTGAAAGAAAAAGGTGTCAGAACAGGATAGAATCAGCAGCTGGGGCAGATCACAGAAGAAATGGTTGATGACGTTTGGCCCACAGAAAGGGAGCTGAAGCAAGGTACAGAGTTGGATAAATGAGCCTAAGAATCCAGTTATACAAGATCCTGCCACCATCTGCCTGCAGAGGGTGGGCGACATGATGGCCCTGTAGAGCAGAGGGTCACAAATGGCAGCATATCGATCATAAGCCATGGTTGCAAGAAGACAGCACTCAGTTAGACCTAGGCTAGAGAAGAAAAAGTACTGCATACTGCACTCCATAAAGGAGATGAATTTATGCTTCTTGAAGAAGTCTGAGAGCATCTTGGGAGCTATAGTGGAAACATAGCAGATGTCCAGAAACGACAGATTACTAAGGAAAAAGTACATAGGTGTATGCAGATGGGAGTCCATCCTGATAAGGGTGATGAGGCTCATGTTCCAGGACACTGTCAGGAGGTAGATCCCTAAGAATATTGAAAAGAGGAAAATAGCGAGATTTGGAAATTCAGAGAATCCCAAGAGAATGAACTTTGTAATTGTTGTACTGTTCCTTTCCTCAGTCATTGCACGGTGATTCTAGTATCTGTAGGAAAAAAGAGCATAAATATCTAAGTCAGTTGTTATCCCAATTTCTATTGAAATAAACTACCTTGTATCCACACTGAACACAGAGCCAAGCAAAATATTGATCCAATTTAGAGGAAATAACTCTGATTAACCTTGGCCCTTACCCTAGAACTTAAAGTATAATAAAAAATGTTTTTTTAAAAAATGCATAAGCAAAAAAAAAAAAAAACTACAATGGTTCTGTGCATCAGTTTTTCCACACGTAGAAGAGGATGACTACACTTTTCATTGTATATCAGGCTCTTATGAGAACAAAAGAAAGTATAAGAACATTTGGAAGGGACTTTTTAAAAGACACTTTGGAAACGTTAGCATATCGCTAATGGAATTACAATCCTGTGCATGAGTCAGTGACTAAGAGCATGGACTTAGATGTCACACTGCTGTTTTTGGATTGTGGTTCTGCTACCTACAAACTGTGTTAATATCTTTGTGCTTGTTATTTCATCAGTAAAACAGGGATAGTAAACCTGTCTCAGGTTTTAACTGAGGTTATGTATGGTATCTGTCAGGCACATAGCACGAATGGTATGAAAGTGGTGTCATTAGGGGATATCTTTCTAGTATAATTTTGAAGCACTCTTTTGATTTGTGAAAAACTTAAATTTAAATGTTTAATGGGGTCATATAGGTAACATTCTCTGACTACAGTGTTATTAAGTTAAAAATCAGTAGCAAATTGATAATTAGAGAAATGTCATAATTGAAAACTTACATATTTTGAAACCATTCATGAACATTATTAATATTAAATAATGTTAAATCTAATGAATAATTACAGAAATGCAAATTAAAACAGTGGATACAATTTCACACTTGCCATTTTGACAAAAATTAAGAAGTGGGGCAATATCAAGCATTGACTAGAACATAAAATAAATGGAATCCTCATCCCCTGTTATTGGGAGTGCAAACTACTATGATGGGTTTGGAAAGCAGGTCAGTAACCTTTAATATGGAAGAATATGTAAACACAATATAACCGTCAAATTCCAATGCTAAGTGTATTCTCTAGAAAACAAAATCCTCTATAAAACAAAAACTCTCTGAAAAGACTGTTAAAATACTCCTTCTTTTTCAAATTACATATCTATGTGAGACCAGATTTCCTCATCTACCTTAACCAAAACTGTATATTGCAACAGATTAAAAGAGAAACAAATATAAGAATCCAGCTGTCTTCTATGAAACAGACATTTATGACATTTTCAAAACTGTAAAACAATGCTACTCCTCACAAGCTATTTTTGTTTTGGATAATTATAAATTTTCATAGATTATTTTATTAAAATATTTTAATCACATTAACCCATTTATGCCTGAGGTTGCAATTTTTTGAATTTGAAAAATCAGACCTTTGCGATGACCTTGAGCAGTAAGATATAAATGACTCCCACATGCAGTGTAAACTAGTTCAACCATTGTGGAAGACAGTGTGGTGTGGTGATTCCTCAAGGATCTAGAGCTAGAAATACCATTTGACCCAGCCATCCCATTACTGGGTATATACCCAAAGGATTGTAAATCATGCTACTATAAAGACACATGCACATGTATGTTTATTGTGGCACTATTCACAATAGCAAAGACTTGGAACCAACACAAACGTCCATCACTGATAGACTGGATTAAGAAAATGTGGCACATGTACACCATGGAATACTATGCAGCCATCAAAAAGGATGAGTTCATGTCCTTTGTAGGGACATGGATGAAGCTGGAAACCATCATTCTGAGCAAATTATCGCAAGGACAGAAAAACAAACACTGCATGTTCTCACTCATAGGTGGGAATTGAACAATGAGAACACTTGGATGCAGGGTGGAGAACATCACACATCGGGGCCTGTTGTGGGGTGAGGGGATGGGGGAGGGATAGCATTAGGAGGAATACCTAATGTAAATGAGGAGTTAGTGGGTGCAGCACACCAACATGGCACATGTATACATATGTAACAAACCTGCATATTGTGCACATGTACCCTAGAACTTAAAGTATAATAATTAAAAAAAAAATTACTACCTTAAAGTAAGCACAGGGAAAAAAATAAAAATAAATAGAAAATAAATAAATAAAATAAAATAAAATAAATGACTCCCACATGCTTAGCGTTCCAATAATGGAACACTAGGAATAATTAATATATAGTGAGTGAAGAAAATAAGCAGAACAGAACCAGTGAGTAATAAGTGGCTTAAATCTATTAATATAGCTTGCATACTAATGGATTTTGAATATCAAAAAGATAAATCAACTATAATTTTTAGAGTACTTCATCAATAATAATAATAATATGTAACAGTTATTCAGCACTTACTGTCCTAGCCATTCTTCTAATATATTTATTTAGTCTTCACAAAAATCTCATTTTAATATAAAGCACAGGAAGTCAGGGATCTTTCCCATGATCTCAATATTAATAAGTGATACAGCTGGGAACCCTCTCAAATAGACTGACACCAGGGTCCAGCATTGAACAATTATACTACACTACTAATTTACATAGTTTGTATCTCTTTCATCTTTATTTTCCTAGTCACTATTAGCATTGCACCATTTAATTAAATTAATGAATAAGTTGTTAGAGCTTTGAGGATTCATTTGAAATCATAAATAAAATAAAAGTAGGTGGAGTCTAAAGGTCACACTGGCCCAACATAAATTGTAGCCACGGTAAATTGCCCCCTGCATCAACTATTGCAATGATTAATATCCCTTTGGCATGCAAAGATGGCCATAAATGATCATTTTTAATATTTCACAGTTATTAAAATTATATATTTATACAAAACAACACTGTCAAGTTGCTTTAGCATAAAATTACATTAACCCCCTTTGCCTACTCTATTTTAGACTCAGCGAAAGTTTTAATTATCTCTGACAAATAAACTTGGGAAATTAACTATTGAAAAGCAGAGTATATTTGGTGTCACCATTAATCAACTTTGTGATTTGGGGCAAAGTAATTCACCTTTATGTGCCTTCATTTCTTCATCTCTAAAGGAAGAATCATCATTACTTCATATGCTTTTGCAAGGACTTAACTCTGATATGTAAAATAACAACTAGGCTGTCAAAAATGAGAGATGTTATACTAATACTGAATAATAATAACTATATCTAAAGGTGGTTTGCTAACTAAAACACATTTTTATAGGTAAAATAGGATTATTTGGTGGTAAAAATATTAGGTTCCATGGTCCAGATGATAAGCTATCAGGAAAACTTCATGCCCCCCATTCCACTTTACTCACTGGCTAGTGCTTGAAACAGTGTAAGGTTATTTTTTTCAACTCCAATACCTTGGTTTCCATTAAAATTAATATTATTCTATGAGAGTGGGGAAGAGGGATCATGAGTTTTCCAAAAACAGACAAAAACAGATGTTGAGCCTGGATGCATGAGGTCTTTGTCAAGTGCATAAGAGAGCAGGGTTACAGCAGAAAGAAGAAAAAAGGAAAGGGTTTCAAGCATGGAAGCCAAGTTTCCGCCATTCTGATTTCACCCACCCAAATGTTCATGCAGGTGTTTGGCTCCTGACCCGTGTATCTTCGTGAAATTCTGGGAGGTACTGCTGCCACGCTGCCTTCCACTGAAGTGTGCTCTCGTCCCCAGATGAGTGTCATGTTCTTTCAAAAATTAGAGGCCACAAGCATCGTAATACAAGTGTTCAGCTTCCCCTAGGCTCTGTGCTTTGGCCATGGCTCTGTGCTTTGGTCATTGCTGCAAGAAAGGTGTTTACAACTAAAGAATCTCTTAAACGTTTCCTTTGGGTGTGGGGAGAGAAGAGGCAATTAACAGAAGGCACCATTAATTATTCTCTAGAATAATGAGAAACACTAGAGAAAACACAGATAAATATTCCCAGTTGGTTCCATTTCTTTACACAACCGTGTGCCCCTCATCACCTAATTGAATCAAGTTCTAATTTTTCTTTTCATACTTTTAGAATCATGATATCTGGGAGGGACTTTCAAGGTAGGGTGACCATTACATATATTACCTAAACTGAAAAACTTTGGGCATGAAAAAGGGAGTTATTAATAATCTTGTCAGGACAGCAGACATAAACAGAGATTGTTTCAGGCAGATGATTGTTTGATCACCAACATTTTAAGCCAAAATCTGCTATTTATTGTGTCTTTTTTGATTATGTGCTGTGGCTCTGAACAGACTTGCTTGGGTTTGAATTTTGACTTTGTTGCTTATGAGATATGGGCCCTTGATCATCTTTCTTAATCTCAGTATGCCTCGGTTTATTAATCAGTAAAAGAAAGGACATAAGAGGGTTATCTTATAGGGTTGTGATGAATTCAAATGAAATACCTGGAAAGTACCTTGACGTACTCAATAAATGTTAGCATTTTGTTTTTGTTAATAATATTATTGTTTTAATTTCTCCATTTTCTGTTCATATTTCTATAAAAAACTGTGCTCATTTTATAGGTATAGTTTTTTACATTCAGCTTTTGTTATATGACATTGTAAGTTTTTAAAACTTTGTAAATTCTACTTCAAAATTTAATAGTTATTTTACTCTTGAACTCTTGTATTTTGTCTTGTTAATAACATTAATGCAACCCAGATGTTCCTGGTCTCATTAACCTGAACTGTAATATCATGTCATACTAGCTTTTTATTTATAACTTTTTTTTTCTTTTTCTTTTTATTATACTTTAAGTTCTAGGGTATACGTGCACAACGTGCAGGTTTGTTATATGTGTATACATGTGTCATGTTTGTTTGCTGCACACATTAACTTGTCATTTACATTAGGTATTTCTACTAATGCTATCCCTCCCCCATCCCTCCACCCCACAGCAAGCCCTGGTGTGTGATGTTCCCTGCCCTGTGTCCGAGCGTTCTCATTGTTCGATTCCCACCTATGAGTGAGAATATGTGAGAATAGTTTGCTCAGAATGATGGTTTCCAGCTTCATCCATGTCCCTACAAAGGACATGAACTCATCCTTTTTGATGGCTGCCTGGTATTCCATGGTGTATATGTGCCATATTTTCTTAATCCAGTCTATCATTGATGGACATTTGTGTTGGTTCCAAGTCTTTGCTATTGTGAATAGTGCCGCAATAAACATACATGTGCATGTGTCTTTATAGTAGCATGAGTTATAATCCTTTGGGTATTTACCCAGTAATGGAATTGCTGGGTCAGGGATCTAGCTCTAGATCCTTGAGGAATCAGCACACTGCCTTCCACAATGGTTAAACTAGTTTACACTCCCACCAACAGTGTAAAAGCATTCCTATTTCTCTACATCCTCTCCAGCACCTGTTGTCTCCTGACTTTTTAATGATCGCCATTCTAACTGGTGTGAGATGGTATCTCATTGTGGTTTTGATTTGCGTTTCTCTGATGGCCAGTGATGATGAGCATTTTTTCATATGTCTGTTGTCTGCATAAATGTCTTCTTTCGAAAACAGTCTGTTTATATCCTTTGTCCACTTTTTGATGGGGTTATTTTATTTTTTTCTTGTAAATTTGTTTAAGTTCTTTGTAGATTCTGGATATTAGCCCTTTGTCAAATGGGTAGATTGTGAAAATTGTCTCCCATTCTGTAGGTTGCCTGTTCACTCTGATGGTAGTTTCTTTTGCCGTGCAGAAGCTCTTTAGTTTAATTAGATCCCATTTATCTATTTTGGGTTCTGTTGCCATTGCTTTTGGTGTTTTAGACATGAAGTCCTTGCCCATGCCTATGTCCTGAATGGTATTGCCTAGGTTTTCTTCTAGGGTTTTTATGGTTTAGGTCTAATATTTAAGTCTTTAATCCATCTTGAATTAATTTTTTATAAGGTTTAAGGAAGGCATCCAGTTTCAGCTTTCTACATATGGCTAGCCAGTTTTCCCAGCACCATTTATTAAATAGGGAATCCTTTCCCCATTGCTTGTTTTTGTCACGTTTGTCAAAGATCACATGGTTGTAGATGTCTGGTGTTATTTCTGAGGATTCTGTTCTGTTCCATTAGTCTATATCTCTGTTTTGGTACCAGTACCATGCTGTTTTGGTTACTGTAGCCTTGTAGGATAGTTTGAAGTCAGGTAGCCTGATGCCTCCTGCTGTGTTGTTTTGGCTTAGGATTGTCTTGGCAATGCGGGCTTTTATTTTTTTGGTTCTATATGAACTTTCAAATAGATTTTTCCAGTTCTGTGAAGAAAGTCATTGGTAGCTTGATGGGGATGGCATTGAATCTATAAATTACCTTGAGCAGTATGGCCATTTTCACAATGTTGATTCTTCCTATCCATGAGCATAGAATGTTCTTCCATTTGTTTGTGTCCTCTTTTATTTCACTGAGTACGGTTTGTAGTTCTCCATGAAGAGGTCCTTCACATCCCTTGTAAGTTGGATTCCTAGATATTTTATTCTCTTGCAATTGTGAATGGGAGTTCACTCCTGATTTGGCTCTCTGTTTGTCTGTTATTGGTGTATAAGAATGCTTGTGATTTTTGCACATTGATTTTGGCTGAATTTGCTTATCAGCTTAAGGAGGTTTTGAGCTGAGACGATGGGGTTTTCTAAATATACAATTATGTCATCTGCAAACAGGGACAATTTGACTTCCTCTTTTCCTAATTGAATACCCTATATTTCTTTCTCTTGCCTGATTGCTGTGGCTAGAACTTCCAACACTACGTTGAATAGGAGTGGTGAGAGAGGGCATCCCTGTCTTGTGCCGGTTTTCAAAGGGAATGCTTCCCATTTTTGCCCATTCAGTATGATACTGGCTGTGGGTTTGTCATAAAAAGCACTTATTATTTTGAGATACGTTCCATCAATGCCTAGTTTATTAAGAGTTTTTAGCATGAAGGCCTGTTGAATTATGTTGAAGGCATTTTCTGCATCTATTCAGATAACTGTGGTTTTTGATTTTGGTTCTGTTAAGTGATGGATTACATTTATTGATTAACATATGTTGAACCACCCTTGCATCCCAGGGATGAAGCCAACTTGATCATAGTGGATAAGCTTTTTGATGTGCTGCTGAATTTGGTTTGCCAGTATTTTATCGAGGATTTTCGCATTGATGTTCATCAGGGATATTGGTCTAAAATTCTCTTTTATTGTTGTGTCTCTGCCAGGCTTTGGTATCAGGATGATGCTGGCCTCATGAAATGAGTTAGGGAGGATTCCCTCTTTTTCTATTCATTGGAATAGTTTCAGAAGGAATGGTACCAGCTCTTCTTTGTACCTCTGGTAGAATTCAGCTGTGAATCCATCTGGTCCTGGACTTTTTTTGGTTGGTAGACTATTAATTATCGCTGCAATTTCAGAGCCCAGTATTGGTCTATTCAGCGATTCAACTTCTTCCTGGTTTAGTGTTGGGAGGGTGTATGTGTCCAGGAATTTATCCATTTCTTCTAGATTTTCTAGTTTATTTGTGTAGAGGTGTTTACAGTATTCTTTGATCGTAGCTTGTATTTCTGTGGGATCGGTGGTGATATCCCTTTTGTCATTTTTTATTACATCTATTTGATTCTTCTCTCTTTTCTTCTTTATTAGTCTTGCTAGCAGTCTATTAATTTTGTTCATCTTTTCAAAAAACCAGCTCCTGGATTCATTGATTTTTTGAGGGGTTTTTGGTGTCTCTATCTCCTTCTGTTCTGCTGTGATCTTAGTTATTTCTTGCCTTCTGCTAGTTTTGGAATTTGTTTGCTCTTGCTTCTCTAGTTCTCTTAATTGTGATGTTAGGGTATCAATTTTAGATCCTTCCTGCTTTCTCTTGTGGACATTTAGTGCTATAAATTTCCTTCTACACACTGCTTTAAATGTGTCCCAGAGATTCTGGTGTGTTGTGTCTTTGTTCTCATTTGTTTCAAAGGACATCTTTGTTTCTGCCTTCATTTTGCTATTTACCCAGTAGTCATTCCGGAGCAGGTTGTTCAGTTTCCATGTAGTTGAGCAGTTTTTAGTGAGTTTCTTAATCCTGAGTTCTAATTTGATTGCACTGTGGTTTGAGAGACAGTTTATTGTGATTTCTGTTCTTTCACTTTTGCTGAGGAGTGCTTTCCTTCCAACTATGTGATCAATTTTGGAATAAGTACGATGTGGTGCTGAGAAGAATGTATATTCTGTTGATTTGGAATGGAGAGTTCTGTGGAATCGTAACTTTTAAACATTAAGAAATATCAGGTTATACTTGGATTTTATTTAAATTTTTTTAACTTTATTTTTAAAAATAATCAAATACAGAAAACAGCATTAAAATATTCAGCTTAATGAGTTATGATGAAAATACGTTTGACATCTAACAGTAGCCACTATTCTGATCTTGTGATAATTATTTCCTTACTTTTCCTTATAGCTTTATCACTCAAATGTACATGCCTAAATATTAAGTTGCTAATACTAGTTTTGGCTTTATAAAATGTGTCAGTTATCTCTCTCTCTCTACCTCTCTCCCTCCCTCTCTGTCTCTCAAATCTATTTGTTTTTCCTTTGGAACTTCTCACAATCTGAATTTTGCTGATTATCTCCCTGTAGTAGTTTAATCTGATTTTCTGTACTCCATATTTCCTATAAATTGGCAGTTGGAGCTCCCTTTTTTGTTTTTTGTTTTTTGAAACAGGATCTTGCTCTGTTGCCCAGACTGCAGTGCAGTGGTGCTAT